AATGGCCCAGCCAAACACCCGTAAATGCAAGGTGTTAGGCTCATATCTAGTAACCAATTGTAATGGTGAATGTGGTTAGGTAGCAGTAGGCCTTAGGCAGACTAGCATAACTGCGTGCAATATTGCATAGCCCCAGGCAGATACCGGTAGTTTGGTTCTCATAACCAAAGTTCGAGCTATCAATTAAAGGTGTTTTATGAAAGCTTCTGCCAAGCCATTTTAGGTGTGAACATGGGGTTCAAGATGTTCCACTTCAATCCCTACTGACATGTAATAATCGTCAAATGTCTGTGACGTAAACTCTCTAGCGTTATCCAGTCAGATCAACTTAATCGGATAATCAGGGTGGTGAGCCCCTTAGCTTAATAATTTGTGCTATGAGTTTAGCAAATGCAGCATTGCATGTGGACAGCAGGCAAACATGTGACCATTGTGTCGATGCTTTAACCAACACCATAAAATATCTAAATGGTTCGCAGGTTGGTTGGATAGGTCCACAAATGTCCCCTTGAATCCTCTGAAGAAACTTAGGGGATCGTGAATAATCTTTGTAAACGAGGATTGAGTATTCAACTTCCCCAAAGAACACGCTTTGCATGGTGGGAATCTAACGTATGGAGGTAACTGATGCCCATGAGATGATTTGAGGAATACGGTGCATCATGTCACGTCCAAGATGTCTCAAACGATCATGCCAAAGCAAAAAAATGCTTTGTAACTCAGGCATAAGGCCGCCCACATGATTGGCTTCTATGCCGTGAATGGTTGTGATGTACAACTCACTCGGGAGACATTCCAACTTCTCGTGAATACCTTTCTGGCCATATTTGTATAAAGTGATACAAAGAAATTCATAACCATTATCTTCAGTGGTTTCAATATGATATTGATTATCTTGAATATCTCTAAAACTCAACAACGTTCTTTTGGAACGTGGAGAATAGAGTGCCTCCTTAATGGTTAAGATTGTACCATTGGACAATGTGATATAGGCCTTTACATATCTTTCAATCATGTTGGATAGGCCTAAAAGAGTTGTCAGATGAGCTTTCTTGGGTATCAAGTTAGTAAAATAGTGTTGTTCACGCACGATGGTGTGCGTGGTAGTACTATCAGCCAGACAACTAACTTTCCCAATAGACATACCTAGAAACAATTTGATTGAATTGGTCACATTCATAAATATAATTCCATTCGTTCAAATGAGCAATTCAAGAAAATAATATCCATCACATAACAATCCATAATTCAAAACAAACCAAAACCAAACAAATTATTCCAAACACTTAGAAAAATTGTTCAAAATTAAACCATTAACCTAGAAAAATAGGGGAGAAATGCTGGCCACTCCTAGTGGGTTCGGCCACAAGGGGTAAACACCCTAAAAACATGTCTAATTTATTTGTCCATGAGAGCTGACGCCTCCTGAAAATCCAATATCTTCATTGATGTATTAGCATCTTCCGGATGATTCACTCACGACGGGAATGATACTTGGCAATAGCCTCAGGGGAAGCTCGGCATACGCGTGACCAATGATCCCTTGATCCACAGCGGTAACACATGTCCAGTTCAGTTGAAGCAGGCTGAACAGGAGCTTTTCCCTTGTTCTTGAAGTTTGGGGCTTTAAGGGCAAGGGGTGGACGTTGCTGGGTCGAATTTCCTCTCTTGGGACCAGCACTCTGTTGAACTTGGGCTCGTGGTTGGGCTTGTCGCTCGTTACCATGGCCATGACGATTCTTACGTCGTTTGTGGTTACTAGAAGGGATCACATGCACTTCAGGAGCAGCGTTCGAGCCAATCGGTTAAGCTTGATGATTCTTCATCAAAAGGTAATTCTGCTTTTCAGTGAGAAGTAGTACAGAGATCAAATCTAAAAATTTGGTGAACTTATGTGCCCTATAGTATTGCTATAGGACAATATTGGGGGCATAGAAGGTCGAATAATTCTTCTCCAAGAGATCTGATTCGGTAAGTTCCACTTTACAGAATTTCAGTAGTGATCGGATCCTTAAACTTCAGAGTTGTATTCATTCATGGACTTAAAGTCCTAGAAGTGAAGATGCTGCTAGTCATGTCTTGCTTCAGGCAAGTATATGTCTTTCTGGTGATCGAAACAATCGGCCAGAGCAAGCTAGAAGGTGTGTGGGTCCTCCTTAGCGAGGTACTCGGTCTGCAGTGCATCATGGATGTGTCTTCGAATGAAGATTATTGCATTAGCTTTTTGAGCTTCGTCAATAGGTTTGTCATCGGTAGATGCCTCAATGGTGACTATACTGCCTTTTGCAGTTAGATGAAGCTTCATATCTTGAACCCACTTCAGGTAGTTTCTGCCAGATACTTCCAGAGCGGTGAAATCGAGCTTGTTCAAGTTCAACATGTCCCAAAAACGGAGGGAGAAAATGTGATTAGTCATATGGTAAGCCATAGACATATATCGTAAAACATACAAGTTCTCATAGACATGTATAGGTTTAATTGATGCATGAAAACTACAGGTTTCATGTGGTATGTTTTGAATGAAAACTTTACGTTTCAAATGCACTAAATATGAAACTATATGTTCAATTTAGTTTTTATGAACGATTAGTTCATAAGGAGATATTCTTGCAAGAAACACATAATGCAATATGCTGATTTAAGTATAGTAGATTTGAGTTTCTTCGAGAACTCAAGTGTGAGAGCTTCATTACTACGAAAGTATGTCAACAGTTCAAAGTATAAAGATAAATTATTGAATCGTTAATGTCGAAAAGTGATATTCAGGTCAATAATTTTGGATTCATTATCAGATTAATGGACCGCAGTTCATTTTTAATTAATTCAATAAATCGGGACCAAACAGGGTTGATCATGGAAGCAAAATAATGCCAAATATTAGCATTGAATTCGAAAAACCGTAGCCCAAAAGGAATTGGGCTAGGTGCCATGAGTAGGGCAAAACCCTAGATGGCATATGGGCTCAGGTATGGCTACAGAAACAGCCCATATGTGGCTGCAGGCCATGGGCCGAGAGACAGGAAGCCCAACAGTAAGCTATTGGCATGATTAGGCCGACACCAACGCACAAGAGCAGGCCCATGCCTGCGTGGGTGCAAGGAAACCCCAACCGCAGCTGGGTTTCAATTTTTAGGTTACAGGGACAAAGCCCAGCCCTGTGGGCTGGCTGATTGAGGCGCGAGCCATGGCATGTACAAAGCCCAGCAAGCGTAAAAGGTTGCTGGCGGGTCAGGCCAAGCTACAGGGTTTCGGCCTAGCAAGGCTACAGGCCTGCTAGTGGGCTAGGGGCTTCAGGCCTGTCAAAACTGACCCCAGGCGGAAGCCTGGTTGTCGCGTGCAGGAGTAAAAAGCCCAAAAGCTGTTGCGATGATCCATGTAGCTGGCCTTCAGGCCAGCGACGGTGCATAGTGTGGTCGATGGTGGTGCCGCAAAATCCTAATTTCCTTTCTCTTATTTTTCAAATTTTTCTAGGGTTAAAGAAACCTTAAATTGCTTCTAATTTATTTTATATGCTTTGACTCACAAATTCCACATAGCAATTTAATTGCGTAATGCATGAAACAAATATATATATATATATATATACATTGACAAATATATGAAACATATACAATATATATATCGGAAGGAAAATGTAAACATAGAGGGCTTCATGCATCATGAGGAATGTTTTCATGCTTCAAGATCGTTTCAAATGTCTTACTTTATTTTACGCGTACATGATTTGCAAAAAACAAATAAGAGCCTTTGAATTTTGTGGAAGATGGTCTCCTCCTACGATGCGTCAATTCCTCAACTTCTGGCAAAAGCGTGCTGATAACGTGTTATAGGCCTATTTGATTGAACTAATCTAAGGGATTAGAGAGAGAGGGGGCCGGTGGTATTGAGAGAGAAGAGCGAGTGATTTAATTGTGAGATGTGTTTGTATCACCTCATTGTGCCTTTATTTATAGTAGTAGGATAGACAAAAACCTTACCCTTTTAGGATTACAACTCTGAATAGGTAATCAACTCCTAATAGGAATATAAGAGATATTCCTAAATTCACTAGGATTTACACAATCACATTTCTATTCTAAATATGACTGCAACATTTATATAATTATAAAGTTTTTCCTTATTAGTTTTAAGTAATTGATAAGAATAAATTAGTAGATTTATAAGCAAAATTTTGGCTCAGGAGTTATATGAAGGGAAATTAAAATCTAAAGGAGTGTTTGTGTCTTGTCTCAAACTTGAGGAATTTTGTGAAAACCCAATAAATCTCAGAAAGTGTTAGTATAATTACCATATAGAGATTTCACTTACACAAGTTACGGCAGCGCTACCATACCAAATAAAGTCCCTTGGTTTGACCATAGAAAAAAAAAATCCCTTGGTTTAACGGTTTTTCTCTTATTCCTTCCAAGTGCTTTGCACCAAGTTTTTTCCGAATTCATATATTCATTGTTTTATTGTGTACTTCTTACTAATGTAGTCTAAATTCACGAACAGTTACGTGTCATTTTGCAAGGAGATAAACTTATTTGTAAATTAATAGCTTTAGAAATATTTTTATTTTTTAATCAAAATAAATGTAACCAATCAGAAATAAGCACGTTAAATTTAAGTAATAATCCAATCATCAATAACCACATCATCATTTGGTTTATAATTTTGATCTCTCTAACATTACCTTGAGATAAATGACCAGGTGCCAACAAATGGAACATGTCATAAAAAAGGGACAAAGAGTTTTGAGTGCAGAAGATTTGATCCCCAAAAGAACGCACATTTGTCTCCAAGTTATCATGATCGTCCTCCCAGAATTATTTCCAAATTGGCACATAATTAATAACAGTAACAAAAAAAAAAAAAAACAATTAATGCTAGGAAAACCAATTTTTAAATTAAATTTTGTAAACCAAATGATGTGGATGTTAATGACTGAATTATTACTTAAGTATTAATTAACATGCTTATTTATTACCGGTAATACATTATTTGATTTGTAAATTTAGTTTAAAATTTTAATTTCCCTATCATTATCCATAAATAAAAATAGAGCTCAAGTCGTGCTCATTGGTCCAATAAAATACAGGAGCTACAAAACTGGGATGCAACACGCTACACTCAACCAACTATTCCACAAAATTGCATCACCGTTATTGTGGTCCGCAAAGTTTCGGGTGGCAGCAGGAATAGCTTAAAAATTTCCACCAAGTTCAGGTGCATCATCTCTAGTGTGGTTTTGGAACATAGCCATCGACAGCAAAGTTTCGGGTGGCAGCTGGAATTGCTAAACGAATTCCATCAAGTTCAGGTTTTGCAATGACTTGACAACCCAAGCGAGACCTACAACGCAGAAACATAATTTTGACATGACCACACAAAAAAAGAAAAGAAAAGAAAAAAATTACAATAATTCTGGGAGAAAACCTACGTTTCAGTGAGTCCAAAGGCCAAGTCCAACATATCATTTTCCTCATCAGTTGGGTCTTCTAATTTGCTGTAATAGTCCACGTCCTACAGTATTATTCTATAGTTAGCTCCTCGTACTTTATGCAACTTTCTTAAAACATATAAAACATACCATCACAATCACATGACATGTTGAACAGGCAAGTGAACCTTCACACGCTCCTGATATGAGATAATGAACAGAATATTAGATTCAGCAAATATGATTAAAGAATTATTTGACAGGGTAGTGACTCTGGTTGTTACTAAGTCTGATCCATTTTAAGAAAGGGAAATTTGCACAAATACCACTTGAACTATTAGAGGTGTCTGTCCTAAACTCTCTACTTTGTGTGAATGTACCGCCTCCAACCTAACTCCATCCAAATATTTGTTCAATAAATTTAAGAGCACCCTATAATTTTCTTTAGGCACCCACTCAACAAAATTTTGTTAAAAAATTCCAATATTACCCTTGTATTAGAAAACCCAAAAGAATAAAACAAACCTCAATGATTAAATAATAAAGGAGTGGGGTGTGGAGGGGAAGTGTGCGCTGAGGATGGGAAAGGTCGGAGTTGAGCAGTGGGTACAGAGCTTTAAGAGCTTTCCACTCACAAAAAGTTCTCCCCACATTTCCCTTATAACTTTTTTTTCAGTGTGAAAATAGCAAAATGACTTGTTGCTTAAAAAAGTTATGCTACGACCACCACCCTTCAAGGAATCTCACCCACCCCATTAACACCCTATGTCATTCAATCACAAGAAGTAGGTGGAGGTAATGGAACTGTCTACAATGCCCAGCTAGACAATGGCCAAGTAATTTCTATTAAACGAGCAAATAACGAAGACTCTAAAATGGCAGGTTTGAAATTGAACTTCGATAACCTTCTTTCAACAAATTCAAATTTACAGGCCTCAAGCTGAAACCTGAGTTTACCCAAGTGTTCAAACAGGCATTAAAAGTCTACTATTTGAAACTTAGACATAGTTTAGACTTTAGAGTATAGGGGTAATTATGGGACAATTGCTGGGTTTTCTTAGAAGTAATGAAATTTGAATTAGAAAGTGGGTTGTACTTGGAATGGCGGGTGAACTCAGATGATCATGGAGTTAAAAAGAAAACTTCTTTAATTTCTTTATTTTTTAATTTGTTTTTTCTTTGTTCATGAATTCTTTCAGCTTTTTAATTTGTTTTTCTTCTAATTAATATAGATGACATTTACTGAATTGTCCTCAGAGTAGTTCATGTGTGTGGCACCAGGACTTGATTTAGCAGCATATGGATGGCGACCAACCTAGGTGGTAGATTTGCACCAAAAATGAAGTTTAGATATTTGTTGCCAATTTTTTTTTCAAGGTGGCAACCGCACATGCCCCTGCTAGTCTAGGTGGTACTTTTGCAAATTCCCCCTTCAGGAAATATGCAGTCTGAAGCAATCAAAAATTATTTTCCAAACTGATTTGACAAACACCTATCAGTCCTATCAGTAGAGAGACGCATGAAAATTATGAAACCTGAAACAAATGATGCGGTAGAACGACTATCTAGGGGACGACAGTAATTAATGGAGCAGATTTGGTTTTAAGGTGAAAAAGACTATTAAATAAGTATCAGAACCTTGCCTTCAAGTTCTATATCATTTTCATGGGCAGCTTCAAGCATAGACATTCCAGTAGGAACCTTGATATGTTTTTCCTCTCCATCCTTATCAACAAATGTCACAGATATCCTGCAAATAGTTCATCTGTGTGTGAAGAAACAACATAATAATCTTACTGCAGATCTCACTCAAAGGAAAATTAGGGCCATGAGGTGAAGATAAACCACTGCAACAAATTTCGCATAAAAACAATGCGGAGATATATGTTTAAATCATGCATGCAAGTTCATTTGACTTTGTTCTCCTACTATTATGCTGCTTCTCAGACTCGCATCCTCTATCATTATTACTAATTATAATTTTCGAACAGTTCGACTGCAAATAACTTACTTTTCTTTCTGCTCAATCCCTTCATTCGAAGAATGGCTGGCACTACTGGTAGAAAAAAGACGATGCTTCTCAAAGATGGTTCCTCGCAACAAATTAGTTTCAGATTGTTGATCAAACTGTTCATAAGACAAGGAAACCACAAATATAATCTAAATGAGAATAAAAACGCGAACGCATATGCAAGCTCATTCTAAATAAATACATAAATTTAAAACTACTCAGAACTTCATAATAATCATCCTTCATCCTTCAAATATATTTACAAGTCCCAACTTCTTCATAAAATACTTAAAATACTACAAACAATTTGAAAGACATATATGCCTTCACTTAGATTTAAAATACAGTTCTGACAATTCCCAAACAGCTTGCCAAATGTATATTATTAAACTGGTTTTGTTTTGTCTCCATTCTTAGTAAATGCTGACCTAAGTTTAGTGTTCGAAGAAAACATGACTGCTTCACTCCTTTGATAGGACCATACTACAAATAAGACCTATGGCATGTTTACTTACTAGAATGAGAATGCAAGATATGTGTATCATTCCTATTCCTCACACACCCTGCACTTTCTAACACACAAGGAATTAAAAAGTAAGTGGGTCCCACTTTGAAATCATGTATTCAATACCCAATTTTAACCAGGTATCCTTACCAAGAGGGGCTTGTTCATCCCCTATCTGGACAATTGGATATCCTTCCCATACTATTCTCTTATCGTTCTCATACCTTAAAAAGTAAGTAAACATGCCCCTAAATTGGAATGAACGCGGTCCATTTCATCTTCAACACTCCCAAGGCATGACATCCTGCTATCCTAGATATACAAGAATAACTCATTCTATACCATATAACAAAGAATAATGTGCACTTTGACATTAAGCAGAAAAGAATGAACATAGGTAGTAGTTAATTCAACTTGGGCTTCTCAAATGTCAAGGTGAAAGTGATGGTTCTAATATAGCACCATCAAGAAATGAAAGAAGAAATCATAAAGGCCCCCATTTGTTTCACCTTCTTAGGTAGGAGTGGACTTGCTAGTTTGGTATGACCAAGGACTAACTTAAATGAGACTAACCCGGACTTGCCTATACTCCATGCCTCACTAAATCACGCTAAGCAATCCCGAGTAAAAGCTCGGTATTAAGCCGGACTAGAAAGAAAACAGCATACGAGCGCAAATCAAACCCAGAAAACATAAAACCCAGTCCAGACTCCTTGATCGTTACCCATCTCCCTCCCACCTTCGAGCCAATCACACATGACCCCACCCCCAACCATCCCCTTTATGCTTCAAAGCTAGTCCAATCCGAGATAGTCCGGTGCAACAAATGCACCCATATGGTTAACGGCTCTCCTTTCCTACCCAATAATTCTCATAGGACTAGACCTTGCAGATCATACCAATTAGTACAAGTACCCCCTCATTTGAAGACGAAAGTGGTCACTAGAAAAATAAGATCCAGATCAATTCATTGGTGGAAATTCATTAATGGTTTCTTTGATTGCTTGGTTTCTTCTGCCCATCATGAGTACAGACTACAGATAAACATAAAAATTATGCATACAGGATGATTACTGCAAAAAAAAAATAAAAGGTTTCACCAATAGCTGTTCAAGTGAAGTGATCACTCATAGGATATTAATTTATATTGGAGGTGGTAACTGACCAGAGGTTGCAAGTAATGTCTGTAAGAATTACTAGTATATCCTGCTCTGGTTATAGATGCGGATTTGCCTGCAGTTTGCAAAAGAAGCATGATATTGGGAAACGTTTTGAGAATGATCACAGAATAACATCAAAGTGAGTCGAAAATACTTTAGAAAAAACAGTTTGGCTTTTAACAAGGTGAGCTTCAAACAGGCATTAGCTAAATAAAATATTTTAGTACATACCTCTGGAGAGCTGTTTCAGTATCAAAACTCCAATTCTTGATACTTGAGAAGCAAACATAATCGTCAGACCTCTTAGTAAACCCTAACTCCACCAAAGCAAGTTGAGGAACTTTAATCTGGAAAAACAAAAGGAGAGATTCAAATTCTGATTTTTTGTTTTTATCAAATGAAAACTTTATTGTCAAATTATCTCCAGACTTAGAAGTATTCAAGTTCCAGGCAGGAAGAAAAGAGGATGTCCACATTTTAAGAGAAGTGTAAATCTTCCCCCAACTACACTACCCCTGCAATATAGTTCAATAGTTCTAACAGGCCATCACTTTAGGTTTTCAAGGATCATCCTCTGCAAAGGATCAGCCTTAACTGAAATTGTTTATGAAATCACTAAGCAAGTTGAGATTTGGCTAATTTTTTGCAAGGCTATTTGTCAAAGGAGGACCGAAAAAGCTGATGAATTCAATTTATTGGACTGGGAAGTCCACACTCTTCATATTTTTGGACATCATCACCTGAACCTTGTTAATTGAAGTTGGGAAACTGCAATTGCTATTTACAATTCATGGTTTCACCAGGCACTAAAAGTCCAAAACCAAAGGTAACTAATCAAATGAATAAATTAATGACATTCAGAGCCTAGGGATGAACATTAAACTTCTTTACTGTTATTTCTAGTGGTAGCCATAGCCATGAAAGCAATGAGAGAAGTGAAAAATTCTGCAAATCCATGAGAAATCAAAGACCTAACCAAATTGAAATTGAAATTCCCAGTAATGGATCCACTAGGACGAGGAGGAGGAATTTGCGTAATTGAAATAAACAGACTCAAATTTATGTTGTGCAATTTGATTTTCTCTTATTCACATGCAATATTTGCATCGTCTCCAGAGCCAGAAGCATCCTCATCCACAAAATTCATTTGTGCACTACGACCAATAGAGATGCTTCAACACTCACTCATATTAACAACTGAAAAGTTCTGATTTGAACTTTATTGTTTCCAGAATGACCAAAAACTCAAAAAGCCCAAAATCATTCCAATTCTATACTAAAAGAATATAACTTGTTTAGATATTAAAGCAGCGACTACATACAGATTTGATACACAGCCATAGACAGAGTAGGAAATGGATGAAAGTTCCACCCATCATCAACTTCTTCACAAAGTACAGCATAACTTATCACTTTGATGAAGGATGAAACCACGAAACTTTGACAGGCGAAACAACAACATATCTCAAACACCAACCGAAGACCAACCTTCAACCGAGTACTAACGGCCAGATACACAGAATTTCTACAGTCAAATCTTTCTTTTTGGACAATGGACAGCCAGGGTACCCTATATACAATGCTGAATTCTTTTTTCTTTCAATCTTCTTCCACATTCATAACAATTTACACTTGTGGACCCACTCGGAAGGAATGACTTCAAAGTTCAAATATAGGGATTCGGTTAATAATAAAGGAGATGCAGATTTAACTGATTCCTGGTATATAGTTACATCAAATCCATTTGAAATTTATTCTATCCATAATCCTTTCTTTAATATTACTACATCCTATTGACACCTAATCTTCACAAGTTTCATTCGTATTTTTCCCATAAGACTGAACTTCCAAATAATGGTATCTTGCAAACACAAACAGAGCTCATGTAAGAGCACTTTGCAAAGTAACAGTTTGACTGTCATTGTTATATAAGTTATATTTTTCGGTAAGCTAGGGAGACTAAATTTGTAGACCAAATTTTGTAAACTAAACGACATGGAAGTTGATGAGTGGATTGTTACACAAGTGTTGATTAACATGCTTATTTCTTATTAGTGACACATCGTTTAGTTTGCAAATTTAGTCTACAAATTTAGTCTCTCTAGCATTACCCTACATTTTTAGGTTCAAATTGTATTATCACGAAACAACCTCGAATAGAACTGTGATTCTATATTTACCGCTCTCACATTTTAAAATTTAATTTAACACAATGCCCATTTATTCTATCTTCCATCTAGAATGTGAGCTAGTTAGTAATTTTTCACACCACCAGTTAATACACTCTCCAACAATACATGAAGAATCAGCATTACATGTGGTTTTTGAGGTAAAAGTGTTCCAAGATTGAATGTTTAATGCAACAGAAAGTTGAACGAACAATAACACAAGGTAAACCTTTTACTCCATGAGTATGTCCTATGCGAAGAATTCAAAGTTAGCAAAATCATTGCCCTGTTATTGGTTGTTTGGTGCCCCAAATTACATTGATTACTCTTAAAATTGATTTTGCCTTCTCAGTCACTGTGTTGTGTAAAATCATTACCATTACTGCAAAGTTGAATATTTATGTTTTTCCCTATCCGATTTAAGATTTATATAGCATGTTGGATGACCTGGTAAAGATACAATTACAAACATGTAAGTTAGGTTAACATTCCTAACACAGTGCTGCACATGATATGAATATGATTCATTAATTCTCAAATACATTAAGTCATTAACAGCTAAGCGAAGAGAGATTAAAATATAATCACACCAAAAGAGGGTATTTACCACATACAGTCCATTGCATCTACTCAAATCGCACAAAAGGCTTAACGAAATTCACAAATCTTAACGAAATTCACACGAAGAATTCAAATTCAAAAATCTTAACGAAATTCACACGAAAAATAAATAAAAAGCCTTAACGATATAGCTGTTGGAAAAGCAAATCAATTTTTTCTTTTAAAATCTTACCCACAAAACCAAAGGCTGTGAAATTATTATCCTCTGGAGCCTGGAGCAGGGAGGAAAATCAGTTTGGTGACTGAGAGAGGTAGCACAGAATTTATGTATGACCAGCGCAACGAGGAAGATGAACAAGCAAGGGAGGCTTCGATGCCAAAATCAATAGTAAGAAAAGCTTGAAAAAACAGTTATGGCCCTTCGGTGAAGAAGACTGGAGATTACTAGGCTGTGTTTTAGGATGGACATGGGCCCATCACGGCCCAATATGAAGGAAATGGGAAAAAGATTTTTTATTCCTGCATGTGGTTTTCAGAATCGTATCGAACCATATATTCGATCCATAGTTTGAGCGATAAATACTGAACTGGATCGTGCCCGAAAATCGTATCAAATGCGAATTTCATGCAATGTTGGAGAGTGTAATAATGTTGATTCTTCAGTTCGATTCACGGTTTCAAACTAGTTTCTCTCTTTTCTCAATAGCTACATATTAAAAACAGACATTATTATATACACTAAAAGCCAGTTGAATCTGGCACTGTTCAGCAATAGTAAAAGGGCAGAAATGCCCTCCAAATAATTGTTTCAGCTGGGTTTCTCTCGGCTTCTGTACAGTGAAATGGCTGTTTTGCCCTTTTGATTCCACGCGTCCATCATCCGTGTATGTTTTGGCTTTGGTTATTATGGATCTTTCTTTTGCTTTCGCCTATTCTCTCTAGCATATCTCCAGTTGCTTTGTTTCTCGCCGTCTTTTTTCTCCACCTTCGCTTCTGTTTTCTTCATTATGTTGCTTCGTTGTTCAAAACGTCGACCATTTTGCTTAGTTGTTCTTTGATTAATGGTCACAGTTGTTAAATTCTCTGCCTTTTTGGTTCGATTCCAATAATTTTTTGGGTTTTTGGTTCGTTGGATCCGGGTTTTCCAAGTAAGTTTTACATGTATATTACTGCACGGGGATTCAATTTTCCATTTTTTATTTTTTTGATTCTTTTGTTAATATCTCAGGGCTTTGCTTTTTTATTTCAGAAATTTTGTGCCCATCTTGGGTTCGCTTCGGACTTGGTTGCGACCGATCTAATCCGGCGTTTCCAGGTGAGTTTTGCATGTTTATGAGCTTATATGGTTTCAATCTTTTGTTTTTCGTTGGATCGTTGTTGTGCGTGTCTGATGCGTTTTGTTTTCCAGATTCGGGAAATGGTCCCTTTCAGATTTTTGGATTTTCGATTCTGATTCTTGGAACTCTCTGTGCTAAAGGTATATAAATGTATTATTTTTTTTTTTCCTTTGTTCCCTTTGCAGCTGAATTTTTTATTTTTTTATTTTTTTTTGGTTTTGTTTTGGTGATTTGGGACCTTTTTTGTGCATGTTTGGGTTGTTAATTGGTGAATCTATGGGGTTTTGTGATTTTGGATTTAGGAATGGGTTTTATGTTGAAATTTCCTTTTTGTGATTTTGGATTTAGAAATGGATTTTCATTTGAATTTTTTTTTTTTTTTGTTTTTTTTTGTGACTTTGTGGATATTGGGTTGTTGATGAGATCCAAGGGCGGAGATCGGGATGAGAAGAAGATATTGAGAGGTTTGGTTTCATCTTCTACTCTCTCTCCATAACCATTAATCCCCATTACCTTTCAGTTTCATCTTCTACTCTCTCTCACTCTCTCGCTCTCCTCTGCTCTCAGATGGCTCTTGAGGTCGCTGTCAAGGCTGCCTTAGGCGCCCCTCATCTTCTCGGCAACTGTACGTTCACAATTCTCTCTATTTCCCTCGATTTCCTTTCTGGGGTTTGATCAAATTTTGCTACTTTGGTATAATTTTCCATCTTTTGCTTCTGACAGGCCCTTTCAGCCAAAGGGTTATTCTGACCTTGGAGGAGAAGAAAGTGCCCTACAAATTGCACTTAATCAATCTCAGCGACAAACCCAGTGGTATTTTACTTTGTTTTGAATTTTTGATCCCGAAAATACATGCAGGAATAGATGGAAATATGTGATTTTTCTACTTTTAATGGATTTTGGTGTGTTTTTTTTTGGAGTGTCTGAGGAATTGGGTTTGGGGTTTTTGTTGGTGATTTGTAGGTTTACGGAAGTGAATCCAGAGGGGAAGGTGTCTGTCACTGAGGATAAACTTTTTGTCTTCAGGTTAGCTCTACTGCTTTTTCCTACCAGTCATAGGTGTGCTAATAGTGTTGAGAACAATGCCTAATTTAGTTTAACTCTTCTCATTTTGATAATTACCTTTTCCACTGTCTTCTTGAACTTGGAATTAGTTTGATAGCATTTTGGTTTTAAGCGTTTATAAAAATATTTCATTCTAATGAACAAGTCATTGATCTAGTAACTCTTATTTGTTGAAGATTTAGTGCTAAAAGCTATGAGTTACAAGTATTACATTTCATTCACCAAGTCATTGATATATTTAACTCTTATTCGCTAGAGGATTGAGATTTTAACTTTTCTCATCTTTGTTGCAGCCAATAACAAGAATAAATATTCTCCATTGCTTCGTCCGCTTCTACCAACAAATTGAAACCTAAACATTAAAATTTCATCACTACGATTTCACCCATTTATCATAAAATTGGTAGACATAACTTCATACCATCTCAGAGCAGAAATAAAGATTTTAATTTTCTTTTACTCCATTATGGCTCACTCTCTGTTTACTTTTCCTCAATTTAAGTCTCCAAACAAGCTACTGTTTGTAAGTCCTATCAATCTTCAATTTTTATTTTTCTTGCTTTGATTTCAGTTCTTTTATTACTAATTTTAATCATTTGTGTCCACTACTGATATCTTGGTATGTTAGTTTGAAAACGTGTCCCTTTGAATTTTAAAATCTGGCAAATTATTTGAAGCAATTCTGATTTTAGCTTTATGGACTTTACAAATAGGAAGATGAGGAGACAAAAAGAAGTACAAGGGGATGCATTTAGCTTCCACTTTTGAGGTTCCAAGCACCCAAAATGTCACATCTCGCCCCGGGGGGGACCACTTCCCGGGCCTGCTCCACTACCGTAGCACGATATTGTCCGCTTTGGGCCCCGACTACGCCCTCACGGTTTTGTTTCTGGGAACTCACACGAGAACTTCCCGATGGGTCACCCATCTTGGGAATGCTCTCGTGCGCTACTCGCTTAACTTCGGAGTTCTCATGGAACCCGAAGCCAGTGAGCTCCCAAAAGGCCTCGTGTTAGGTGAGGATGAGAATATACATATAAGGATCACTCCTTTGGACAATGTGGGATGTCACAATCCACCCCCCTTAGGGGCCCGACGTCCTCGTCCGCACACCACGCCCAGGGTTAGGCTCTGATACCAATTGTCACATCCCGGCCCGGGCGGGACCACTTCCCGGCCCCGCTCCACCACCGTAGCACGATATTGTCCACTTTGGGCTTACCATTCCCTCACGGTTTTGTTTTTGGGAACTCACGAGCAACTTCCCAGTGGGTCACCCATCATGGGATTGCTCTAGCCCCCTTCTCGCTTAACTTCGGAGTTCCCATGGAACCTGAAGTCAGTGAGCTCCCAAAAGGCCTTGTGTGAGGTGGGGATGGGAATATACATATAAGGATCACTCCCCTGGACGATGTGCGATGTCACACAAAAATTGTCAGACTGGTGAGCTCAAAAAAAAAAAAAAAAAAAAAAAACTCATTTTGATATAAAGTTTGAATTTTCAAGTTTGGATTTAATTGTACATTTAATTTGATGGGTTTGATTTATATGCAAGGACTTTGCTTTTATTAATGCATAAAATATTAATTAAATTTTAATTAAGATGCTAACTTTGTAGGTATCCTGGAATTAACAATGTAGCTGGAGTTCTCCACTGACTTAAGCATAGTGGAGAACTCAAGTACAGAACTCTCTATCTGTTTCTCAATTCTGGAACCTCTGGCCTCCGCAAGAAGGTTCGTCTCTCTTTCTCTCTCTCACACTTTTTTTTTTTAATTCGTAATCGAATTTCCTTTGCATAAATGATAGATCTGTTGCAGTGGGGTTGCAAATCCTACCCTCTGTTTGTTACTTTGTTCCAATTGTTGCAATCAATTTTTCATCGTTTATTTGGTCAATTCTTGCATTGTTTTATTTGGTGAATTCTCAATTAACGATTGGTTCTTCTTGCTTGGTCTAATTGAGTAACTTAAGAATTTCATCTGTTGATTAAATTTCATGTGAGAATTTTTTTGTCCTGATGGATCTTTTTTTTTTAATTATGTAGCCGATGAGTTCGGTATTCCTTTGGAGTCTCTGCAAGTTTAAAGTAATCTATGTTGTTATTTTGATTGTGCGATTTGTGACCGACGCTATTTTAATTAGAATGTTTTCAATTTAGTGTCATCTCAATCTCAATGGGTTTTTATGATATGCCTTATGAGTGAATTATCTACATTTTTCAATGTTGGTCTCGACAATTGTGATCACTGCACTGTGGATTTTGTTTGAATTCCCAAATTTTGTCGAACATTTGACAAGTGCTCCTTCAATAAATTTCGAGTAAAGAACGTCTAAATATGACAATTTTATGGTTTCAAATTCTTGGAAAATATGAAATAATATTGCATAATTTCTGATTAATGTGAAAAATTGGTACTTTTGTAGTGATATATGCTTTTGGAGTTCCAGCTTTACTCTAATTTTTCCTTCCTTTGTCTTAACGTATAGATCCCCGCATTTAATTTACTTTTTCTTTTCAGGAGCAATTTGAAGGATTAAAATGCTGTCATTTGGTATAGATGATTGTGGGTTCAATTATTATTTTCCTTTTCAATTGTTATTCTTCATTTGTGATGTGGTTGCTGTTTGTGATTTCCATTCAATGTGATCCATACTCTCAGTTTTCTTTTCAAAATTCCTCTCTTTGCCTTTTCCCAATATTAATATTTTTCTCCATGATAGAAATTTTAAATATATATATATATATATTTTTCAATTTAGATCCTACAAGTTAAGGATATTGATAATGGAATTAAATTCAACGTTGCTCATTGTTCCTTATTGTAAATAAGGTTGTATAGGAGCAAAACGTAGTACCGCAGCATCGTGCGGGCAGTCTTGCTAGTCCTATACTATAACCCAAACCAGCATTCACTATTCATGAACAATGAGAGGACTAAAATGCCCTCCAAATTTCTTTCCCTGAAAGCAGCCCCAGCGTTGGGTTTTGCTCGGGGGACAGGGGCGAAACCAAGGGCCAGGGGATGAGGTCCAGCGTAGCCCAGCTCGATGGAAGGGGGAGGCCCGAGCTCCGGGCCCGTGGGGGATTGCCAGCCCGAGAGCCCGAGGTGGGAGTGACGTAAGGCTGACGCCAGGGTGGCGTCAGCGCAATATTTAAATTTTTTTGTGTCAGGCGCGTGCACCCCACCCGCGCGTGGGAGCGCGTCGCCGACACAAAAATCAGAAAAAAAAATTCTGTCAGTTACCGTTGGGAAGCCACGTGGCTTCCCACGGTGCGTTAGATCTCAACGGTCACTTTATTTAGACCGTTCGATCTCAACGGTAAAAAAAAAAAAAGGTCAGATTTAATATCCACCGTTCGATCTGAGATCAACCGTGGATATTAAAATGCTTTATAAATAAAAAAATAAAAGAAAAAATAGTTTTAAAAATCTGAAAAGTTACCGTTGTGACACGTGGCACAATCTGGAGTGTTGGAATTCAAATTTTTTTATATCCAATGGCAGAGATTAATTAATTGAATAAAAATTTAAAAAAAAATTGTAAAAAATTCAAAAAAATTCAAAAAAAAATCTGAAAAATCTGAAAAAAATTATAAAAAAAATTGTTTTTACTTTTCTATAAATACATTCTCATTATCATCTACCTTACACAACAATTTCATATTTTCTCAACTACTTTCAATCACATTCCTTTCTTTGTCTCAAAGTTTGAATCCTTTTTTTCAACAAAATGACCACTGGTGCAGGTACGAATTGGTCGCTTATTGAAGATGTTGCGTTGTGTACTAGCTGGGTTGAAGTTACTCATAGTTCGCTTATGGGTAATGAGATGCAGTTGCGAGAAATGTGGAGTCTTATTCATACCAATTTTCTTGAGAAAATTGGTGGGAAAAGAAACAAAGAATCGATGTCCAGTCGTTGGAAATTACTTAGCCAATCGTTTAGTACGTGGAGAGACGCCTTGGCATAAACTAGTAGTAATATTCGAAGTGGGGAAAATTACTCGGATCAGGTAACAATATATTATTTATTTGATACCCAAATTTATATTATAATTATTTGTTTGTATTATTTATTTGTTACCTACATAATTTATTATTTATTGTTTGTATTATTTATTTGTTACGTACAAAATTTATTATTTATTGTTTGTATTATTTATTTGTTATTTATTATTTATTATTTGTATTATTTATTTGTTACCTACATAATTTATTATTTATGGTTTGTATTATTTATCTGTTACCGACTTACATTATAATTATGTTGTTTGTATTATTTATTTGTTACTTATTTTCATTATAATTATTTATTTGTATTATTTATTTGTTACTTATTTTTATTGTGTAGGAACTTCAAGCACAAGCTTGGTACGCTGCCAAAACCAAAAGCAAAAATAAATCATTCAACCGGTGGGAATGTTGGAATATTGTCAAAGATTGTCCTAAATTTAGAGTTGTGCCAGTCGGTCCAGAAGTGCACATGAACAGCACCCCTCTACACTCTACACCCGATCATGTTCATGAAGATGATGCAAAAGAAGTGCCTGAAACGCCCCTCCCTGAACAAGCGTCGGGTTCAACCCGTTTTCCAATTAGGCCTCAAGATAAGAAGGCTTCAAAGAGAAAAGGGAGTGCTTCCAAGAACGATTATGCAAAGTTCATGGAAGAACTTACTCGCCAAGGTGAATTGACTTTGGTGAGGGAACTGGCGAAAGATGAGGCTGATAAGGCTAGAGAGGCATCAAAAGCAGCATCTGTTGAGAGAGAATTTTATGCTAATGAGAGAGAAAGAGAGCTACTTAGGCAAGAAAGGGAACATGTTAGAGAAGAAAGACGGGCTCAACAAGATCGTGAGATTATGAACATGTCTTTAGAAGGGAAGTCTCCAAATTCTAAATTTTTTTGGAAGTCAGAGAAAGCGAACGTGGTGCGAAGGAGGCGTGCAAGAGAAACAATAGCAAGCCAAGGTGGTTCTAGCACCGCAAGAGAAGATCATCCTAGCACCACAAATTGGTTAAGTGATGATGAATAGAGTACTTTTTGTAATCGGAGCGCATAATTTTCCAATCACTTTGGGTTGTAATTTATTATTTATTGTTTGTATTATTTATGTTGTTTCCAATTTCTTGAATATTTATTCAAATTAATTTGGTAAGTTATTTATGTTGTTAAAAGTCCATGACCATGACCATCATTCTAATTAAAAGTCATTGTATAAAATAATTAAAAGTTCATCGTTCTAATTAAAAGTCCTTGTATAAAATAATTAAAAGTCCATCGTTCTAATAAAAGTCCTTGTATAAAATAATTAAAAGTCCATGGTTCTAATTAAAAGTCCTTTACATAGATTAAAACCCACACGAAGTGTGACTCTGTTTTCTTCATATAATACATATACTAAGAATTACATAAATATAAACATAAAAAAATTACATATACTAAGAATTACATAAACATAAACATAAAAAAATTACATAAACATAAACATAAACATACTAAGAATTACATAAACATAAACATAAAAAAATTACATAAATATAAACATAAACATACTAAGAATTACATATACTAAGAATTACATAAATCTTTTTAATATGTTCATTAAATGTGTAAACACGAAAAATTCCTGAAACAAGAAACAAGAATACGTGTACAAAATATATTTTTGTATTAATGATTTTGGGGTTACAATCTCTTTGTAATTTGATCCTCTGATTCTATCTTCGTAGGGTGTAGATTTGTGGATGAGTTGTTGATCCAAAGGGTCGTCGGGGCTTGATCTAAGGATGAACAGTTGATGAATGGATCTTCAAGGGGCGTTGGGCTTGATCTTGAAGAATGGGTGTATGAGTTTGTTGAGGTTGTTGATCCAAAGGGCCGTCGGGGCTTGATCTTAGGATGAACGGATGATGAATGATGAACACTTTCTTCAAGGGGCCGTCGGGGCTTGATCTTGAGTTGGTGGAAGTTCTTCAAGGACCGTTGGGGCTTGATCTTGAAGGTTGATGGATGAGCGGATCTTCAAGGGCTTTTGGGCTTAATCTTGAAGAACGATTGGATGTGTGGATTTATTGAGGTTGTTGATCCAAAGGGCCGTTGGGGCTTGATCTTAGGATGAACGGATGATGAACGATGAACACTTTCCTCAAGGGCTGTCGGAGCTTGATCTTGAGTTGGTGGAAGTTCTTCAAGGGTCGTTGGGGCTTGATCTTGAAGGAGGATTTGACGAAGAACGAAGAGTGCTTTCTTGATCCTTCGGGATTTGCTTGAGAGCTTTAGAGTTTCAAGGCTTGAAGGTTTTGGTGTAATGTAAATTCCTCTTCCTTCCTTCCCTTCTTTTCTTCCTTTTCCCCTCCCAAAATGAATGTCTTGGCTTCTATTTATAGAATTCCAAAACTTGATTTTTGGATTTAAATAATCAGATGAAATAAATCATTTCTGCCAGGTATTGACACGTGTCCTATTTGATGACTTTTCTAATTTATTTCGATTTTTCGTTGAGTCACACGCTACATGTAAAATTTATGTGACATGTGAGCGTTGAAATTTTAATTATTGGTCAACATTCATTTCACCGAAATTTTGATGTCTACAAATGCCCCCACTTCAAGGCGCGTCGTAGACATGTGCTTGTCACGTGTAGAAGATGCGTTTTGAAGTCCCTTAATGTAGATGTCAACCCAAGGGCCGTCGATGCTTGATCTTGAATTGGGCTGGAAATTTCTTTAAGGGCCATCGAGGCTTGATCTTGAGCTGGGCTGGAGGATTCTTTTGGTCTCCTCCGAAGGTCTGAACTTACTCCTTTTATCTGGAGTTGAATTTGATTCAAGGGTGGTGAACACTTGATTTTGAATCGGACTTGTGATTTCTTCAAGGGCCATCGAGGCTTGATCTTGAACTGGAAATAAGACCATGAGTGGTTTCAGGATTCTGACACATGGCAGGCAAGCACGAGGTGGAGGTGATGACCTGTTTCTTTGTTCAATCTTTCCAATTCGTATTGAAGAGGGTAGATTGGAAGACTGACTCCAAGTGCCGGCTGATTGCTCTTTTCACTTTGCCATGCAAGTAATAACAAGGACAAAGGAAAGGACATGGAGAAAGCATGATATGAGATACCTTTGCTTTTGAAGAAGTAGCGAATGAATCAGCACATATATTTGTTGTGCTTGTCTCCACATGCTTTGATGTATCATTTTCACTTGCGTTACTTGCTCCCTTTGCAGAAGTGGTATTTCCTTATGCAGGTTTAGCATCTTCTCTTGTAGTATTTGTCCTCTGATACAGGAGTGGAATGCAAACCTTGCATTTGAATGGACCATCACTTCTTGGTGGCAGCGCAAGTTTGAGTGGAGGTTCCGACATATTGCTTTCTCTGTCCTTGTCTTGGCAGGTGAGAACAAGGGCAAAGGAAAAGACATGGAAAAAGCATGATATGAGATACCTTTGCTTTCGCCCTTGATGATATGAGATACTTTTGCCTTGGTGTCATTTGTTTGCAAGGGTATTCCCGAAGAGGAAGAAAACTGAGCATTTTGAGATGCTTTGCTGGGAGTGTACCCTCGGAGGTGAGGAAGAGTTGGGCATTTTTTTTTTTTTTGCAGGTCTGCCTTGCCATAAAAGATGAAGGTCGACATAAATAGGGATTTCCCAATAGCAAGTGGTAGTGCGGATGCGGCAATGACCTCCACGCGTCTTCAACTTTGTCAGAGATCTTTTGACAAAGTTGCACGCATTATCTGAAAAGCCGAGATTGCGGCTTTATCACCCACGCTTGTCGGCAACCTCCACGCGTCTTCAACTTTGTCAGAGATCTTTTGACAAAGTTGAACGCTTTATCTGAAAAGCCGAGAGACCTCCACGCGTCTTCAACTTTGTCAGAGATCTTTTGACAAAATTGAACGCTTTATCTGGAAAGCCGAGATTGTGTCTGAAGAGTTGGCGAACTCTACGCAGGAAAAATCCGGCTTTGAAGAGTGGTGTGTCTTCAATTCTGAATCGGTGATTGTGTCGCCTCTCCCTTTATAGAGGTGATTGATCACCTCTAACATGCATACTTTGAAGATTGTCCATTCGTAAATATCGTCTCCGATCCTTTGAAATTTTACTCTATCCAACCCTTCTCTTTTAACTTTTTGAAAAATGGCTAACCCATCTAACCCATCTAACATCTGCTTAGATTTGAGTCTTAGCAATGATCCGGTCGCGCCGCGTCAGGGTAAGGTATGGTGCCCGTCTTTCTTATCTTCTAATAGCCTTCTTACAGGTGAAGACTCTGTGATGACGGATGCAACAACAGCTACGATAGTAGCTCGGAACCTCCTCACTCCTAAAGATAGTCAGCTGCTTTCAGGACGGTCCGATGAGTTGGCCGTTCAAGAGTCCCTAGCTCTCAGTGTTCAGTGCGCGGGCTCTGTGTCCAACATGGGCCAACGCCTACTGGCTCGATCCCGTCAGGTTGAATCATTGATGGCAGAGGTGGAAAATCTCAAGCAAGAGATCAAACAGCTTAAGCACGAGAATAGAAGTTTGCACGTGCTTGCAAATAATTATTCGACAGGCATGAAGATGAAGCTTGATGAGATGCAAGAATCTCAAGGTTGAATTCAAAGTGACCGTCAAAGGCTTGCGTCTTTCTTCCAGAGGCACCTTTTTCCTGCGTCATCTAGCGTTCCACCAAGTATTGGGGCCTCGAATGATCTATCTTCGGTGCCTCCAGCTCCTGGAGTTTGACCAAGTAGTGGGGCTTCACGTGAACAACCTTTGTGAAAACTCCATCTTTTTTTTTTTTTGTACGCACTTGTAATTTCTTGGAGATTAATGGACATGCTTTATTTTATTCAGTGTATTGTGCTAAATACAAATAAAACATATACATCACCGTCCATCATCATTCCTTTTTATTTTATTTTATTATTATTTTTTTTATTCTTTTCTTTACTTTCGGTGGCGCTGATCCACCATTCATTTATATATATATATATATATATATATATATATATTTCAGATGGTGCCAGAAGCACCACCATTGTTTTTTTTTCCTTTCTTTTTATTATATATTTTTTTTCTTTTTGCACATGGTTCCAGAAGCACCATCATTGTTTTTATTATATTTTTTTTCTTTTTAATTTTTTACTCTTCTTTTCAAAATGGGCTGATGGACTCCACCATTATCTTTCTTTATAATTTTTTTTATGTATTCCACCATGAAAGATTTTTTTATTTTTTTTATTTTTTCATGGTGCTGTCTACCTAGATTCCATCATTTTTTTTTTCTTTTATATGGTGATCTGCAAGGCTGAGTTTGTGGGTGAAAACCCAGGCCGAGTCCGAGAGAAGACGGATGAGGTCTTTGGGTGTGAGTTGACAAACTTTGGTTTTGTCAATCACATTCAAAGGCAGCAGCAGAGGCAAGTAGCCAGATCTTGAGGCAGAGTGTAAGGCGTTGAGTTTGAAGACCGGCTAGTTGTTTGACAACGGTCAATGAAACTCTTCGTTGATTTTGATCATGGTGGCCGGAGTGAGGAGCTTGAGGTTTGTTGGCAGTGTGAAGAGACAGAGGAAGAAGCTCCACCATCACCATTGAGCACAGCCTCACAGACCACCGATTTTCCACGACCTTCGATCCAGTTCACCGCAGCGGGCTTCCTGTTAGAGCAGTAGTTGCCGGAAATTCCAATCACATCCATGTCAGGGAAGTCGTTCTGGAGGAAATCCAAAACGTTTTGCACACCTTTGGAGACCATGTTCATCCCCATAGCATCATCGGTGCTGCAGGTGAATCTCATGTACAAGTTCTTCCCAGCAATGGCACACGTAATTGTCTGAAGCCTATCGAATCTGCTTGACCTGTTGAAAACCGTGGACAAGGTGTCATAATTGTTGGGTTCTTCCAAGTAGAACTTCAACTCGGCAGCTCTCTTAGCAGAGTTGAACCTCACACAAGGTGCTCTGGTCATCCCATCTCTCAGCAACACACTGGTGGCTCCGCCGGACAAGTTGATAGCTTTGAAGCCACGGTTGGTGCTGGCAACCAAGCAACCTTCGGTGGTGGCCATTGGTCCGGAAAACTCTCTGCCATCGAGCCTAAGAGTTCCAGCAATCCCAACTGGAATCTGAACATACCCAACTGGCATCTCGCAGCACTGACCCAAAATTGACTCGTAATCGAACCCCTCCAATGGCAGTCCACCCAGAGACTTTCCTGTAATCCTCTGAAGCGCCTCGCGCCAGATAGCCGCCGCTTTCCTGCAATCTCCAAGCTTTGACTCCAGAGAGTAGGAAGGATCGAGGCAATCCTGAGGGTAAATTCGGTAAATCCAACGAGCCAGAGCTTCAGCGAAGTACGTGGTGACTTTTCTCATAGCGCCAGTTTGGGAAGCCGCGAGTAGGCCCACGTGCTTCACAAGCGCGTCTGCAAGCTTCAAATTTTCCTGCTGGACAGCCTCTGCACAGGCCATGAGTGTGTGGACGAGCCGCACGCCCGTTTCTTGCGAGTCAACCAGGACTCGAGGCCGAGTTGGATCGGATACAGCGCCGGAACTAGACCCATTAGAATCGGACCCAATTGAGGCCTTCAATCGCTTTCTCATACTCTCGGTATCCGACGGCGAATAAGCTGGCGGGTACGCCGCCACGCCCGGAATAGCCCTGAGATCGTATTCAGAATCGTCGCTGAAAACTCGACTCCGCTGGGAATTGGAGAAGCTCATCGAGGTTATCGACGAGGACTGAGCCGGAACGAGAAGAGGGTCGTCGATTGAGGTATATCGTCGCCTGTGTTGAGCTCAGAGAGCATGCTCTGGACCCACCCGGAGAGATCCGACGGGTTGTAGTGGACGGTGTCAGAGAGCTGAGAAATCCCATCTTCCTGAGCCGACCCCATGACCATTTCGAGCTGCTCGAGCTTCTCCGCCACGTCGACCATGTCGTCGGACCGAACCTTGTACCCCAAAACGGCAAGCAGCTCATCCATGTCGCCGTCTGCGCTGTACCCATCTTGGTCATCTTCCCAAATCTTAGCCTTGCCATTCAGGGTGGAAGACGGGGGTGATGAGTATTCCGGTTTGGAATTGTTTTGACGTGCAGTTACAGTTGCACAGCTTTCGCGGTGATCTCTCTTCATCTTTTGGGTTTGTGAGAGTGGTAAAACCCTAGAAAGTACAAACCTTGAAACCTCTCGCGCTTTCTTACTCTCTCGCCGATTGATGTTTGTCGGAGGATAATCGGATTTATACGAATTTGTGGAGGGGAGAGAGAGAGAGTAAAGCAGAAGGAGAGAATAAGATGGTGACTTGGGCCGAGGAGCTGCAGTTGGTGTAGACGTTGACGAGGAACGTGGGCTGGAAGAATGGGCCGTGACCTGTGTTATGGAGAACTGCAAGTCGAAGGGACGGATGAAGGAGCACACGCATATTGGGCTTTGAGAGCCGGGCCCGGGCCTGGCGGGAGAAGAAGCAGAGCTCCTTGCACAGCAAGCTTAAAACAATTGTGTGTTTGAGAAAAGATGGGCCTGGCATTTGGGTTCCTCTTTTTTTTTCTTTTTTTTTTTTTTTTTTTTTTTTTTTAGTAGAGAATATATATATATATTTTCTAATACATAGTAACATATGTATTTTTTTTTCTTTTCTTTTGTAATAAAATTGACTTTCTTTAATGAAACATTTATTTATTTATTTTGATGTGACTGTACTTGAAGTTTTGAAGTTTCAAGTTGCCTACGTACTCTTCCAAAGAAGAGATCAAGTCATAACATAGTTCAAATGAGTGATGGTTTTGATGATGATTTTGCCGTACACAGTTTATGCTCTTGCGGGCCAGGAGCATTTGGTTGTCGCCTTTTAGGCTCGTGCGAACGAGGTGCTTTTTGAATTTGTCAAACGATCTTAGAGAAGCATTCCTTGCAATCTTTATAGCAAGGAGTCTTGACTGAGTGATTGAAGAAGTCTTTGGGGAAGAAATCGCGCATCGTGATGGCAACGGACGATCTTTGTGTCATAACTTCATCATCCTCAACACTTTCATGTAGCTTTGAAGGTTGACAGTAGCTGCTTTGCCCCCTTTCCGATTGGTGAACTTGTGGAGGAAACCTATGTTTCTTGTGCATTTTCTTTGGAGTGACATAAGTCCATCCTTCAACTTCACTTGACTTGATGACATGGTTTTGGAGCATGCCCCCAGCGGTTGAGGTGAAGATTTTGAGTTCAAAGAGCCAGAAGTGACGGTGGTATAGTTTGACTTCACCACATCATTAAGATCTAGCTCGATGATCCCTTTCTGAGCCAACTTCATGATGAGATCTTTTAGCACAAAGCACTTTTCCGTCGGATGACTAATGAAGCGGTGGAATTTACAGTACCTTGGACTGTCAGTACGGTTCATATCTTCTGGCCGTTTGCACTCAGGTAGGTCGATCACCTTTTTGTCAAGCAAGTCTTTCAACATGGCAACCACGTCAAAGTCGGGGAATGGATAAGTCTTCTCCTCAAGCTCCTTCAAAGTGCGTCTACGTATCTCTTGATCACGAAAAGCTTCGGTTTGAATCGCCTTGCTTCGTGTAGGGATTTTGACTGAAGTTGTGTGGACCGTCATTGCTTCCTTGGTGGGTTTCCACGTAGCCTTATCCACCTTTGGCCCCAAAACTTTGTCATTCTTGTAGTCAGCGATCTGTTCTTTCTTCCCATGACGGGTGATGCTTAACTCCATATCATGGGCGCGGGTGGCTAACTCCTCGAATGTTCGTGGTTTGATGCCTTGAAGGATGTAGTGTAGTCCCCACTGCATGCCTTGAACGCACATCTCAATGGCAGAGGTTTCAGAAAGCCGATCTTTGCAATCCAGACTTAAAGAACGCCATCTATTTATGTAGTCGACGACAGGTTCATCTTTCCACTGTTTCGTACTGGTCAGCTCTAACATGCTTACAGTACGACGAGTGCTGTAGAAACGGTTGAGGAATTCCCTTTCTAGCTGGTCCCAACTGTTGATAGACTCAGGTTCGAGGTCAGTGTACCAGTCAAAAGCGTTACTTTTCAGCGAACGCACGAACTGTTTGACGAGGTAGTCTCCCTCTGTCCCAGCATTGTTGCAAGTTTCAATGAAATGGGCGACATGTTGCTTCGGGTTGCCTTTTCCATCGAACTGCATGAATTTTGGGGGCTGATAACCCCTTGGCATCTTCAAAGCATCAATCTTCTTGGAGTAAGGCTTTGAGTACAGTACGGAGTCATACGAGCTTCCTTCGTACTGTGTCTTGATAGTGTTTGCGATCATCTCCTGTAGCTGCTGGATAGAGAGAGATCCCATGAATGCCGTTGCTTGGTCTAGCTTCGGTTTCTCTTCAACTTTCTCCGCTAGTGGCTCATCTTCTTCGTCGACTTCTTTCTCTAATAGGCCAATATCTGGGTCGACTTTCACGTCGGGCAGCGCATCTAGTTAGTTGACAAGTGCGGCAATCTGCAAGTCCTTCTCTTCCACAGTCCGTGTGAGCTTTGCGATTGCTTCATTCATTTAAGCTAGCTGCTCCTCAATTGAAGTTGCTCCAGTGGTCATGACTTGCATGGTTGTACTGCCGCTCGAATTAGCGTCGGAGAGTAGGGACTCTGAGTATTTCCTCGGGCTTTCCCCCCTTGATGCCCTTAGCGAGGCTAGGGTGATCACAGGCTCGTACCTCAGGTGCTCTTGTTCCTTTGACAGAGTTAATGCAGGGGCGGAAGCCGTGGCAAAAAGATCTCTTGCCTTACTTCGGGTTATGATGCCCGAAATATCACCACTTGCGGCGATGATGTTCTTGTTCTTTGCTTTGATTGCAGGAACAGCTTGATCCTTTCTTGATGCCATTTGCGTTTTTCGATGATTTGAGGATAGAGATGAGAGGTAGAGATAGTCCCACTGGGCGTGCCAAATTTGTAAACATGAAAAATTCCTGAAACAAGAAACAAGAATACGTGTACAAAATATATTTTTGTATTAATGATTTTGGGGTTACAATCTCTTTGTAATTTGATCCTCTGATTCTATCTTCGTAGGGTGTAGATTTGTGGATGAGTTGTTGATCCAAAAGGCCGTCGGGGCTTGATCTAAGGATGAACAGTTGATGAATGGATCTTCAAGGGGCGTTGGGCTTGATCTTGAAGAATGAGTGTATGAGTTTGTTGAGGTTGTTGATCCAAAGGGCCGTCGGGGCTTGATCTTAGGATAAACGGATGATGAATGATGAACACTTTCTTCAAGGGGCCGTCGGGGCCTGATCTTGAGTTGGTGGAAGTTCTTCAAGGGCCGTTGGGGCTTGATCTTGAAGGTTGATGGATGAGCGGATCTTCAAGGGCTTTTGGGCTTAATCTTGAAGAACGATTGGATGTGTGGATTTGTTGAGGTTGTTGATCCAAAGGGCCGTTGGGGCTTGATCTTAGGATGAACGAATGATGAACGATGAACACTTTCCTCAAGGGCCGTCGGGGCTTGATCTTGAGTTGGTGGAAATTCTTCAAGGGCCGTTGGGGCTTGATCTTGAAGGAGGATTTGACGAAAAACGAAGAGTGCTTTCTTGATCCTTCGGGATTTGCTTGAGAGCTTTAGAGTTTCAAGGCTTGAAGGTTTTGGTGTAATGTAAATTCCTCTTCCTTCCTTCCCTTCTTTTCTTCCTTTTCCCCTCCCAAAATGAATGTCTTGGCTTCTATTTATAGAATTCCAAAACTTGATTTTTGGATTTAAATAATCAGATGAAATAAATCATTTCTGCCAGGTATTGACACGTGTCTTATTTGATGACTTTTCCAATTTATTTCGATTTTTCGTTGAGTCACACGCTACATGTAAAATTTATGTGACATGTGAGCGTTGAAATTTTAATTATTAGTCAACATTCATTTCACCGAAATTTTGATGTCTACAAAATGCCTAAACGAAAATGTTGTCACTGTTTAATTGTATGACGTAGGTCATATTTTTTCAAGCTATCATGACCAAATAATGGTATGATTTTTGATACATTAATCCAAAACAAAAGATGAACAATATATACATGCAAAAACATAAAGTCTACTTTTTTTATTTTGAAGAAAAAAACATAAAGTCTACTTGTATGATGGTCTGTTTTGATGGTGCCATTGTCCTTAATGATGATATGCTTTAATGTATTAACCAAAGCAAAATATGTACGTATGTGAACATAGCGTCTACTACTTACATCAAAGCCATGCTTGCTACCCATTTGTTTGCATTTGGTGCTTTACATTTCATTGTCAACTTGCAAGCGATAATGATAAAATAAAGAGTGTAACTAATTAAGATGAGAATTATGCACAATCACAATTTTAAGGTTGCAAGCAATTTGAACAAACACTAAAAGCCAAACATAAATACTCATCTGGCTTTCTAATATTAAACATAAATATAAACATACTAAGAATTATATATACTAAGAATTACATAAACATAAACATAAAAAAATTACATAAACATACCAAATAATAAAACACACCAAATAAAATAACATAAACATACCAAATTCAAAAAAACACACTAAATGAACTTAATTATCTTCAGCTTGTTTCAATGCCCACTGGTGCTCTATCAAGTCAATTTGTCGGGCATTGTGCATGTCTGGCATTTGAAATGCAGTATATCGTTGAATGAGCCTTTCATTGTAACGTCCATCCCTTTGTAATGGCTCATGTTGCACGGGCTCATCGGTGGTATCATGAGCACAATATATACGTGTTCTTGAATTGTTCATCGGGTCTGGCTCATATTCATCAACAGCTTCATAATCGTACTCATCTTCCACAATCATGTTGTGAAGAATGATGCACGTCATCATGATGGATTGAAGCGACTCTACCTCAAACAATCTGGCAGCACCCCTGACGATCGCCCAGCGAGCTTGGAGGATACCGAAACAACGCTCCACATCCTTCCTGCACCCCTCTTGACAGCTTGCAAAGTGTTTTTCCTTTGCATTCCGCGGACGTGGCACTGTTTTGACAAATGTTGACCAGCGCGGGTAGATGCCGTCAGCTAGGTAGTATGACCCGTCGTACATACGTCCATTGACCTCATACGTAACTTTTGGTGCCTTTCCTTGCAGGACATCGTTGAACACTGGGGATTGGGCAAGGATGTTGATGTCATTTTGAGCTCCCGGGACCCCGAAAAAGGTGTGCCAAATCCATGTATCAAAAGATGCCACCGCCTCCAGAATGATACTTTTTGCTCCTTTTCTGTCCCCGTAAGCGCCTTGCCATGCAATTGGACAGTTTTTCCACGTCCAGTGCATACAATCAATGCTTCCAATCATCTCAGGAAAGCCACGCATCTCCGCCTTCTTCAACAGCCGCTCCAAGTCCATGTGTGTAGGTTTGCAGAGGTACTCAGCGGTGTAGATAGATTCGATTGCTTCGCAAAACCTCATCAGGGACTCAAGAATGGTTGATTTCCCCATCCTCGTTATCTCATCCACTTGGTCTGCAGATGCTCCATATGCAAGCATCTGCAAGGCAGCAGTAATTTTTTGCTCAGGCAGTAGACCCATAGCACCAAAAGCATCTTTTTTTTTGCACAAAATAAGAATCATGGTTGCAAACAACAATCATGATTTTGTTGAACAAATGTCGTTCCATTCTAAAACGACGTCTAAAGTACGTATCAGGGAATGCACTATTAGGAACAAAATAATCATCCAAGAGTTCCATACTTCGTCGTTGCCTGCTTCTATCAAGGTTTCCGGAACGGCTGGGCATGCAGATCTGAGCCGCAGCTTGGATGACTCGACGGGAATGTGAGGCTCTGCCCTTTCTTACTTCGTCATCTCTCATTTGACGCTCCTCATCCTCTTCCCTCTCATTTCTTACCCCTTGGGGATTGAACATTGCTTTTGATTCGTTAAACAATTCTTCCTTTTTCTGATTGAATTCCCACATCATCCTTGAGGAAGAAGAAGAAGACATTGAAAGAAAGAAACAGAAACTATGAATAATGATACAGATTTTTGTGAATAAGGAAGCAGAAACTATGAATAATGATAGAGATCTTGAGAATTTTGGTGTGAGATTTGTGAGGATGGATGGTGGATTATATAGAGGATTCAAAGGATTAGGTTGTGCATAATGTCACGTGGCATGCTGTCATTCGTTACAAATCTGATGGAAATCTATCCTCAAAGATTGTGAACAGATTATGACACGTGACATGCCGTCATTCGTTAAAAATCTGATGGAAATCTATCCTCAAAGATTGTGAACAGATTATGACACGTAGCGCGACGTGATTGGTTAATAATCTTATCAGAAATCCATTACCAATAATTGTATTATTTTGTATTATTTAATAATACTTCAGATAATGACACGTGGCGCAACGAGAACGATTAAAAATCTTATCCGATATTACAATTAAAATTATTTTGTATTATTTTATAAATAAAAAAAATACTAATATTTTATTATCTATTGCCAGGGCTATTGAAGTGTAACGGTGGATATGCAAATTCTATTATCAGGGCTATTTACTGTTCATTAAGGACAGTTACTGTTCATTAAGGACACTGTTCATTAGGTGGATTGAATAGTGCATTGACGAGGGCTCCAACGGTGGAGTTGATATAAGCGTTATCTTCCAGCTTTTCATCGGTGGTTCTTCCGCTCCATTTCATCTCTGCCTTTTGTTTGGGTTCGCTTCTCTCTCTCCCCATTTTCAACTTCTGCTTATGTTGGGGCCTAGGTTTTTTTTCCTCGCTCACGCCTTCGTTGTTCTTGCTGTCCACCTATCGCCTTTCTCTCACCGATTATCCACGGCCGTTTTCTTTCCGAAAAACTAACGTTGTCTGGTGAGTTATTTGCGTTTGTTGTCGCATCTGATTTCAATTTTTTTTTCGTTGTTTGGGTGTGGCTTTGTGATGCGGTTTGATTTTTGGTTTCAGGAAAAGTTATGGATACGATCTAAGGTTTGCTGGTGAGTTTTCTGCTTTTCTGATTATATGTTGTTTGATTTTTTTCGTGTTTTAGGTCTGCCTTTCTGATCTGCTTTCATATTTGATTTCAGCAAAAGTTGTTGTTCGAATTTTGGCCTTTCTGTCTGCAACCTTGCAAGCTGATTGCGATCAAGGTATATAAGTGTTTTTTTTTTTTGTCGTACTGGATCTTTGAGGACTCCGCATATCCCATCACCGATAAAGTTTACGCACGGCCACTTTTCCCTTTCTTCGTTTTCATAGCCGAATGTCAAATCAAGCGACTCTGACTCATGCATGTGTGTATTCTGTAAAGGGGTTTCTCAATCTGTTGTCTGGACTGAAGAAAAGGAGGATGGGGCTCTCGAAATTTCAGATCCGAGAAAAGACAAAGGTATAGATTTTGTTTAGTTTCTTTTTATCTTTGAATTCATTGGATTTGATTCTCATTGTTATTCGATTTTTCAGTTCTTATCAAGTACATACCTAAATTAAAAAGGTATTGAATTGGTACCTCCTAATCATCTAGAGACGGTATAATATTTGCAGGTGCAAAATCATTTTGGGTTTGCATGCAACCAAGCTTCTCTGATGCAAACCAACAGGTTAAGAGAATATTATGACCAATTTCAAAATTTCTGAGCTTTGTTTTGTTTTTTATCATATTGGACTTGAATTTGCTTTTTTGCTGTTTCATTATATTGAAGTCAGATTTTGGGTTTAAACTTTTATTTGGATTTGATTATAATTTTCTATACTCATTAGCTTCTGGGTTGTGAAATTTCTTATTCTTCATTTTTGGTGTTCATCTCCTCTGTCATCATCAGTTTTGGTGCTTATGTTGGGCTTTCATTTAAATTTTTTTTTTTTAACATGACATCCTCAAGGTACGGCGGTAGAATCAAACTCTCGAGGTTTGGAATTTTGTTCCCTTCTTTTTTTTGGAGTAATTTTTTGGGTTTCTTCTCGCTTTTGTTATGAAAATAAGAGATTAATAAGATGCATAGGAGGCTTCCATCTTTCTATCTTTCAAATATTTGATGATAAACTATTGTGGGCTAAAGCATCAAATTTTTGTGAATTATGAAATTGTTAGTCACACTCTGTTTTTATAAGGATTTTTTGTATTGGCTATGTGAACCTTTTTGTGCAACCCCTTTTATATTACAATTGCTAATTTAGTTGTCAAAACTCCTGTAATTTTGTTCTCAAAACAATTGTTAGTCACACTCTGTTTTCATAGGTTACTCCATCAAAACTCCTGTAATTTTGTTCTCAAAACAATTGTTAGTCACACTCTGTTTTTATAGGTTACTCCATCAAAACTCCTACCCAAACTGATTTGTTCTCAAAACAATCTCATAAAATAACAATAGTGAACCACTAACAGAACTTCAACTCAAACTGTTCTTTGGTTGCTGAAAAAAAGGTTTGAAAAGAAAATGAAATAACAGAAATTAAATCTTAGCTTTTAATTGGCTATAATGGAGAGAGTTATCCTGTAATTTTGCTTAGCATAATTTAATTGATTGACTAATTTGGGTTATTCTATAGTTCTTTAGTAATAGGAGCAACTAAAATCATGTTATTCAAATTTGTACTTTTTTTTTCAGTCTTCTCAGCAACCAAATGGAGTGTTAGGTATTTTGAAAATATTTATGTGCATTGAATTAGGTAAATTTTTTTGTTCAATTTGAAATCCAAAATAATATAGAAGATGAGAATAATTTTTATTTTAGGTTTCTTCAGAATGGCTGGAGTTTGGATTTGCATATGTTCAAGCGATTTATTTGTTTGATCTTATGGATATTGAGGTATGAATCGGTAGAAGATTGTGCAGACGATGATGAAGCAAAGCAGGTGATTTATAATAAGTGACTTTTTCTTTGTTCTTTATTGTGCTATAGATTGGAATTTATCATTGTACATTGTTTTTTAATTTTTCTGTGCAATTTTATGGTCGGATTTTCTGCAGTGTGTATGAAAATCATTTGAATGCTGAGAACCTATTATATTCGCAACATGACACAAGAGATCAACACCTTCATCCGTATGTAAGTTTCCCTGATAAATACTTTGGACAAATGCTTTATGAATTTGAGTTTTTATCTTCTGATTATTTTTTGCAAAGGTGGTATTAATTTTCCTTTGACTAGAAATTTAGAGGCTTAAGGTACAATTTTTCTAATTTTCTGATTCTGGGGTACTGCGTGGAGTGCTAATATACTGTTTTTCTGGGATTTTTGGTCTTTGGAATGGGTATGTTCTGTTTTTAACGTTTCGGTTCTCACGTGTTCTGTTCTTTTATTCTGTTGTCTGTCTGCTTCCACGTTGCTTCTTAATTTTCATTTTTCAATGTTGGGTGATGGAAATTTGTAAAAATAGTTGTAGTTTCTGAAAAAGTTGGGGTTTTAGTTATATTTCCATTGTAATCCCAATTGTAAGACTGAAAAAAGAATTGAAATGATGGTTTTTTTTCTTTTTTCAATTTCTCTTAAATGTTTTTCTTGAATTTAAAAGCATCTTTCCCGATTTGTTACAATGGTTCTATTCTCTCTAATTAGTTCTTTTATATTCTCTCCAACCTTTTTATCTAATTTTATTTTTCATTTTTGTGGTGGCTTTCTACAGAAGTTAGCTTGAGATTTTCACATGACATGGATGATGAGTATGAGAAAACTCATCTGGGGAATGAACCTGTCAAGGTATATGCAAAAATCATTCCTGGGGTTCATATGGAAGTATGAATTTTCTTTTAGCATATAACATTGACGCAATAATTTATCTCATGGATTGTAAGATATCTTACGGATTTTACCTCCCTGGCAAACAACGGCTGATGTCACTTTTGAGAAGCTGAGATCAGCTTACGGCATGTCACAACAGTCCCACAAGCAGATGCCCAACCTGTATACATCACATGGGGCAAGTTTCAATCTTTTTAGCTTCCAATTAATATTTCGTGCTGAAATTTGATTGAATTTAATTTGGGTGTTTGGTGTCATATTGCTTAAGTCGAATTGCAACTTGGGTAATGAGAAAAAAAAAGTGGATTTGATCTCTGGTTACAAGGTGACTTCACCTCTCTCTCTCTCTCTCTCTCTCTCTCTCTCTCTCTCTCTAAAACTCAATTTTGAAGTTGTCCTCCATATTTTTTTTTTCACTGTTAGCATGGGTCCTCTGAATATCAGCTTTTTATTTTGTCTTATGGTTTTATCATTGTACATCATGGTTGTCTGTCTTTGTTTTCTTATGCAGTTGCATGGAAAGCTGTGCAAGTCACTCTCTCTGCCATTTATTGCAAAATAATGTCAATTTTTCCTTCTCTGGAAGCAGCTCGACATTGGAGCAAGTTTGGTATCCAAAATGTATGTTCGTTGCATGTAGCACTTGAAACGAGTTAAGAATGTTCTTCAGCATTGCTCAAAATGTAGTAAACTTTATTTGGTAGGTATTCCCTCAATATTGCATTTGTAATTTTTGCAGTATTGCTACTCCAACTTTTCAAGTGAAAAATTAATTCCCCCCTCTATTGTGGAGGAATAGATTTCTGTTTTGGTGTTTAAAGTTGTTTCATTCATGATGAGTTTGTGTATAAATTGTACTATGTGTATAATGGGCAAATTATTTTTTATCGTTTAGGCTGTAATGGAATCGCAAATTTGTCAAGTATATCCTAGATTCTTGGTTGCATAGTCACCTACCCACAACTATTGCCTTCTGTTTCTTGATTGGATGGAATTTTATAATTTCTAGATCTACTGTTCCAATGCATTTGACATGTTAAAGTGGAGTTGCATATCATTTTTATGGTTCACATAATTCATTATCTTACTAGCTTGGCAATTAAGTGATGCATTTTACCGCTCAGGTGATGTCAATGGGTCTTGAAGTTGTTGCAGCAAGCTTTAATTCATCAGTGTCTTGATCATTGTACCTATCTTTTGGTCGAACGGTGATGGGAGTAATAATTTTAAATTTTACATCTTGAAGACTAATTTTAAGTTGTTTTATGATGTTTATGAATGCCCTTTAGATTTCCACATTTGTTGGTTTCATTTCTATAGTTCTATGGGTGATACGATTAGAGGTACCATAGGAAGTTGTAGAATTTCATGTGCACTATTAAGGTTGGACTCCTCTCACCACTTAGAGCAACTCCACCCCTATCCACTTTGCGCCAGCACCCAGTCCATTTATCCACTTAATTGAACAGTAACAGACTCAATGAACAGTAATAGGCCAAAGCATCTCCACCCCAAAAAAAAATGTGCTGGCACATAGTCTAAAAATGCGCTGGCACAAACGATCTCCACCCCTACAAAATGCGCTGGCACCCAGTCCATTTAAAATATTAAATAATTTTTTTATAAAATAATAAAAATAAATAGTTTTAATTTCGGATAGGATTTTTAACCAATCTCGTCACGCCACGTGTCATTATCCGAACGTACTATTTTTTGAATAGATTTCCGCTAAGATTTTCAACCAATCCCAACATTCACACAACGTAACATCTTCACTGAGCTTCCACGAAGTCATTTTTTCCTCTCAAAGTGTACAAAATATTCAAATGTAGAAAGTGTAGAAAATATTGAAATGTGGTGTAAGGTGGAAGATGAGGGTTAGGTATTTATAGAAAAAAAAAATTTAATTTTTTAAAATTTTTCTGTATTTTTTTAAAAAATTTTGACATTTTTTAATTAATTTTTAATAAATTTTAATGTTGTAATTAATCGGGACCGTTGGATTTGAAAAATAATCAAATCCAACAGCCAACACGATGCCACGTGGCCAACGGTCAAATTTCTGACCGTTGGGCCTTTTTTTTTTTTTTTAAATTTTTGGTGAAATAAACGTGGACCGTTGATCTGTGATCGGACGGTCCAATTTAAAATTGAAATTGAAATTTTTTTTACCGTTGGAAATCCAACGGCCTAAAAAACTAGCCGTTGGAAATCCAACGGCTCTGAGGAGGCCACGTATCCTTCACCCCGGTCGACTGCAAGTGGACCTGCATGCGGGCCCCAGCGCCTACACAGCCTGTCGGCTACTCGCCTGGGCACCCGCGTGTGTTGCACGCGCCAGAAACAGACCGGCTCCTGGGTCTGTCCATTTTGGGCTGGGCTGTTGACTGGCACGGGCTGGGTGCCAGTCAATTGTGCGGGCTGGAGCTCATTCCTTGCATGCCGGGCTGATTTCTTCACTGGGTGCCAGTCCTTGCATGCCGGGCTGGACTTGCTCTTACGTTTACTATGCCACTTTCATGTTTTTGTACCCAATTTCAATTATCTAATTATTAAATACTTTTTGTTATATTTGTTTTATGAAGAGAATAATGTTGCATAATTTTTCATACAATTTTCATGCCCTCGGCAACGTGTGGGTACAATTTCTAGCGATCTACTATGTAACATCCCACATCGTCAAAGGGAGTGAATCTTGTAAGTTTTATATTTATATTCTTATCTCTACCTAGCAAGAGGCCTTTTGGAAGCTCACTGGTTTCAGGTTCCGTAGAAACTCCAAAGTTAAGCAAGTTCGCGTGAAAGCATTTCCAAGATGGGTGATCCTATTGGGAAGTTCTTGTATGAGTTCTCAGAAACAAAATCGTGAGGGCTTAGTCAGGGTCCAAAGCGGGCAATATCGTGCTACAGTGGAGTCGAGCCTGGGATGTGGTGGGGGCCCAGGTCAGGATGTGACAATTTGGTATTAGAGTCAATCTCTGGCTGGATGTGTGTCAACGAGGACGTCGGGCCCTAAGGGGGGTTGATTATAACATCCCACATCGTCTAAAGAAGTGGATCCTATAAGTCTTATATGTACATTCTCATCTCTACCTAGCACGATGTCTTTTGGGAGCTCACTGGCTTCGGGTTCTGTAGGAACTTCGAAGTTAAGCGAGTTCGTGCGAGAGCATTCCCAGGATGGATGACCCCTTTAGGAAATTCTCATGTGAGTTCCCAGAAACAAAACCATGAGGGCGTGGTCGGGGCCCAAAGCGAACAATATCGTGCTATGGTGGAGTCAAGCTCGGGATGTTGTGAGGGCTCAGGCTGGGACGTGACATACTTATTAAAGCAATTTTTTGTATCCTTACAACTTTCAATAAAAATAACTAAGTCAAAAATAATTTTTGTAACCACACATCTATCAAGCAATAACCTCGAGTTAATCACACTAAACACTCATTGAGGTTGATTGAGTTTTCACAAAACTTTCTCACATTTGAAACATTACACAAACCATCCCTCAAGTTTTAATTTACTTTCACATAACCCGTTCAGTTAAAATTTGGCTTATAAATTTACTAATTTACCTTTATCAATTACTTGAAACTAATACAGAAAAACTTTATAATTATATAAAAATTAAAATTCATTAAACACTTCAAATAAAAAGGTGAATTCGAACCACATTATTACTAGCCCATTGTAAAGCTAAGTCACCCCCTCACCGTAGTATAGACAATATTGTTTGTTAAAAAAAAACACTTAAAAACAAAAGACAAGATGAGGACCATGTGGACAAAAACAAATTTAGAAAGAAAAGAAAATCTAAAAAAAGAAGTTGTTCATCTTCTTTTTTCCCTCCCACCCAATCAAGCAACCACAGTGGCAGAGCCAGACTTTTCAACGAGGAGGGGTCTCTCACAAAGGGGGGTTTTTTTTTTTTTAAGTATAGTATTTACAAATCTACTAAACATCATGTTAATTATATATATATATATATATATATATATATATATATATATATATTAAAAGTAATCAAATGTCCAACATAACATGCATAGATAATAAGGAAAATTAATAAAAAGGGCTTGAAAACTTTGAATTTTAACGATAAGGACAAAATAAAGGGTAAAGTGAATAGTACCGTGATTGACTTTTTAGTGTAAAAATATGGTTTTTCGTTAAAGTGAATAGTACCGGGAGCTTTTCGTTAAAGTTCTCATAATAATATTACGTATTCACAAAAATTATAATTGCCCGGGATGAGTTTTTATGTTTTAAAATCATTGTATTATATTTATAACTTTGTCGCCTATACTATTAAATTCAATGAGGTCAATAAAAACTTTACAAACCGTAACTCTCATGTATTATGTAGAATAAAGAAGAAACAATAGAGAACTAAAGAAATTTAAAACTTATTTGTTGAATATAGTTTGAATTTGGGATGATAATTAAAATGTATGAGATTTCAACAAGAAAAAAAGGGAATAGCTCTGGAACCTGACAACACTATTAAAGAGTTTATAATGAAAATTGAACGATTTCTATTCAAAGAAATGCGAAATATTGCTTTGATTTAAATGCTATTAGTTTGTGTTAGGGAAATAAGTAAAATACTAAAGTTAATTGTGAGATAAGCCGCTGTAGTTATGTTTGAAGCTTTTGGAAAGCAGGACTTCAACCCTTCAAGCAAAAGAAACACGCATAATATCCTAATATATATAAGTCAAGATGGGCCTAGGCACTTCCTGGTCCTTTACTCCCTCCGCTAGTGAGCAACCACCTCCATCTCCATCTCCTCTGATATATATAACGGCTAGCTGACATCAGCAACTAGCCGCTGGTTTCAAACATTTGGCCCCGCCCGGGGCTGGCTGGCTGGGTTGGGCCAACAGGTTGGCCATTTTCTCATTTTTGGCCCGATAGGGCCCATGAGCCCTTTGGCCTAACCTTCGATTGGAGATGATTTTCGTGTCATTTCGGGCTATTTTTCGACCCTCTGGCTGAATCGATTGGAGATGGCCTTAGGTTTCGGGTTTGAGACGTTACCTTTTTTTTAACAAATAATATTACGTGGTGGGAAGTAGGCTAAGTTTCACACTGGCCTAGTAATAATCTAATACAAATTCGCCTTTGGCGATAATTAAACCTAAGATCTCCCACTTACAAGTGAAAAGGAATACCACTAGACTGAGATGTTACCAAAAGTTTTGAATAAATGATAGTATTCACACTAAAGGGGTGAGGGAGTGGGTTAAGCCTTACAATCAGCTTGCCAGAATAATGTGGTTCAACTTCGCCCTTGCAAGAATCAAACCTAAGACCCTTTGCTTATAAGTGAAGAGGAATACCACTATATTGTAGTACTAAGTAGCATGTTACCAAGAGTTTTATAATGCATGGGGGTGCGACTGTGAATTTAGGAACTTTATTTTCTTTTCTCCCTCGTGGAAACGATATATTTACATTATAAAGAGGACAAATAAATTAAACATAAGCGTGGGGGTGTGCAAAAGATGCAGTGACACAAAATCTTGAATTTTTTAGGGGCTCCAAAAAAATTTATCTTCTTGTATATTACGTATAAGTATAAATTTTCTAATAAAAAACTTTTTAATTGAGAAGAAAAATTATCATCATATGATTTTATCTATATTATTATATTACAATTGATTAAGTAGAGCTTATACTTAATATATTAATTTTTCCCTTTTTTCTAGCAATAAAAAACCTTGTGTATTACCTTCTTCCAAACTAACTTATGTATTACTTTTTTTCACAAACATAAACGTATTTTCATATCTCTCTTTTAATCGCATTCCATGTTTTCATGGATGAACCCTAAATCATGATTTCATGGCAATTGAAGATTTTTTTTTTTTTTTTCAATTAGTAAGAGCGAGATTGTGACATCCTATCCTGAAATTTAATGTATTT